AAAAAAATCTTATTATCTCTGCCCCTTTTCTCCATATTAATAAAACTAAGTAATAAGTCAAGATAAAGAAACAAATGTGTTCAAAACTCAGGCCAGTGTAAAACTGTTTAAAGGTGTGCTTAATATTTAATTTGTGTTTCATGACTTGAAACATTTTACATTCTTATGTCGCCATCTAGTGGAGACAACTTGTGATTACGCCTGAAGAAAAAGCACAAGGGTTGACAGCAAGACCTGAAAAAGAGGCATGAAATTCTGTTTTAGCCTTTTAACAACTTATGTCTTGAAACAAAAAAACACTAAAGGAGGTCGTTCATGTTTTTAATGCTTTGAAATAAGACACAAATTTGAGGTAATTAACATTCAGCCCCTGAAACTCCAAACTCCAGCCAAATACACACTTTCTGTGCACTTCCACCCAGCAGCTGCTTTGATTTAGTACTACATTACATTCTATCTGTATTTTAACACATTTGAACTGTTTGCTGTTTTTTTTCCCCACTGTTTAAACATATTCAACTCTGAATTTATTTTAACAACACATAGTACTGCACAGTGTGTTGCGCTGTATTCTTAAAATGGATTGATTCAACTGTTCTTGATTATTTTAAAGAATTAAAGACAGCTCTTCTGGTTCGTCTCTTCCATGTTGTCATTTTGTCTCTCTTTCTTCGTAAATCATCACATTGTTAAAGACAATTTAACACTTTTTCAGACTCAGATTTCAAAATGATTTATTTGATATTTGACATCTGGGTGAGAGGAGAGCTGTGATTAAAAACCAACAACAATTACATTTATATATAAATTCACATGTACCTGTACCTAAATACAATATGATACTTACATTGGCAGAACAAATGTAGCTCTGAGTCTCATTTATATCAATTTAGAGTCAATCAAGATAAGATAAAACTGTATTGTTTAATTCTGCTTTGATATGCTCTACATTCATCAAACACACACAAGAACCAACAATAGAACATGATAAAAACCACGTTATCACCATTAACGTGTCTACTTAGATTTAAGAATATTATTGCAGATGGTACAAATGATTTCTAAATATTCTTCCTTGCCAGCGGGACTCAGTAACTCCTGTTTGATGGAAGCATCTGGAAGCAGCTGTGTAGTGGATGTGAGGGGTCCTCGGTGATCAGGGTGGCTTTCTGAGCAGCTGTAGATGTCTGACAGGTGGCACTGAGGTGAGCCAGTTATTGCACTTGATTGTTTAATTATTCGATGTAATTTGTGTTTCTGTTTTTCATTGATGAGGTTAAACCAGGATGAAGTAGGAGCTAAAATCATTATTTTGTAAAAGTAGTAGAGCTACAACAACAAGAAACAGGAACATGAATAATTCTTCCAGTAACTCAAAAACAAAAGAAAAAGTCAGCGATGTTCTTACTCTTTATTTGAACCTGAAAATGTATAAAAATATGAATAAAAAAGTTATTGCAGCAGAAAAGAAACCTGAACCATAAAAAAAGTGAATAATTTATGTTTTGTAGGTTTACATTAAAATATATATGGGCACTGTTTTATTCAGGAGCTTTCGTTATTTGGAGCAAAAAGCAGCTTTATTTGAACTTTTCCATCTGCTGCCATACACAAAAATACAGTCAGTTCTGTGCACCAAGACGTTTATCATCTGTAGCTGCAGTTGGCTTTTAATAAAGTCCAGTTGTTGCAAGATCAGTCTCAGACACGGTGGAAAACGCTTTGGTTCTGCTGGTTACTGAATAAAACGCAGCAACAAATCAACAAAAGATGAAGCAAATGCTTTTCTTTTTGTCAAACTCACAGGAAATTACTTTGTTTTCCATTACTGGGGACTATTGCAATGCATAGGAGCGCTGGCAATGCACTGCCTCCATGCAATGCATGGAAGGCACCTATTATTATTCACCTCGGAAAACGGGTTTCTCAACTTTATTTATTTACTTATTTATTTATTTAATTCGTCAACTATAATACGGCCCCATCTGCAACGTGTACTCCCACTAATGTTATATCCAAACGACCGGCTCGGCCCCATAAGGTGTGCTTTTATTGGCATTTCAAGTGACCATGGCAACATATTTTGCTAACAAACATGCCATATTTCTCCACAGGAAACGAATGGGAGAACATTCCTCACGCTAACTGCTGCTGTCAAGTCACATGATGTAGAGTGTAGATGTCCCTGAAGGAAACAGAAACTCACTGTTGGATATATTTGAAACTCACAGAAAGTAATCATCAGATAAATGTCTTTAACTTATTAACATTTGGAGCCATTTTGATCCAAGATGGCTGCCACAGCTACCTCAGCAAACACAAAATTGACTTTAACTTGGTCATTCTTTGAGATATTGAGCTGAAATTTAATATGGATGTAGCTGCGATCGAATTGTTATAAATTCCTAATGAAAATCAAATATCCAAGATGGCCACCTTATCTAAAAGCAAAAAAATATATAACTCAGCCAGTTTTTGAGCTATTCAGCTGAAGTTTGGTATAGTGTTAGCTGAAAGAGAATCCCAACACGAAGTACTGTCAAATAAAACGAGTTCACCTTAGTGTTGTTCACATTTACATTTTTATTGTAAAGGTGGTTTCTTACAAAACAGTTGTGACACAGAGGTAAAAGGGGAAAAAAGGAGCCCTGCATACGAACAAACAAAAATAGTGAAAACGGCTGCAGAAAACACAACTTTGGTGACAACTTTTCTTTTTCATCTATGCAAAGAAGAAAATTTTCTGCTGAAGAGTGCTAAAAGTTTTCACAGATCACTTTCATCAGAGTAATAAAACAAAACGTGAAATTAAAATATGTAGCAAAACCCCAGAATTGTGTAGAAACTCTTTTCTCTAATTCCTCTTGAAGTTGGATGAAAGCACCGGCTCATCACAGCAACACTTCTAAAGCTCCATTTACTCAAGTTTTTTTTTTTTTTTTTATGAACAAAAGCAGATGTAATCATTCACGTATCTGTTCTGAGGCGATAATTAGAGCTGAAAACGTCTAATATCAAAACCCAACATTGCACATGCTAAAATAAAGTCCTCGTCTAGAAAGCTATCGTAGATTTGATGCTACATCAGCTGAAACAACAGATAAACAGCAGTACAGTATATAAAGACTACTTTTAACAGTATAAAACATCTCCATTTAAATGTGTGTTAAGGAAAGCGGTTATTAGTAATTACACAGCAGTGCTTTTTATATGTGTGGCTAAATATCAGGTTTATAGACTTCCTGTTGAAACATCGCATTTCAAAAGATACTCACTGCAAACGATGAAACCAAAATTAAAACAGATTAATCTGAAGTAAATGCAGTTTTAATCCAGCAGTTTTCCAGATATATTGATATGAATATGTGAAATGTGGGTATGCACTGAATGTAAACAAAGCACTTGGCTGTATCCATCAAAAACATGGAAGCACAAATCACATGACGGACCTACATCTGTAGTCTGTGGAGGTAAACAAATATGGCTGACATATTTTCTGTTACTTGCTTATGTAGGTAAACAGACACATCTGGTAGTTGGTATCTAGTCCAAAATGTTTAATTTAATGACGGTTTAATCAGTGATATGGAAACAATTGTGCATGTACTTGTTCTGTCTTCACACTTTGCAATGAGGACCTTTAAAACACACGTTAAGTCTCATTTCCTCTAAATTACTGGAAATCTTATACAGTATATAGATTTTTAGCTGTTTTTGGTACAGATAAAATGTTTCAAAATAGCCAACGATGAATTATATATATAAATATTTATATATATATATATATATATATATATATATATATATATATATATATATGTATAAAATAATCTTTATTTTAAAATGTATGATTAGGTAGAAGAATTCCCTTCAAACTTAAATGCTTGTTGCAGAGTCTTTGAGAAAATAAATCAAAATAAACAACAACAAAAACAAAGCCGTTTAAAGAGTTGTTGGATATTTTAGGATTCAGGTTGATTTCTTGTATTTTCCTGGTGTGAGTTAGATCAGCAGCTGGCTTGTTTCGCTCAAACTGGTCTGAAAACAAAAGAAAGCAGGACGCCTGCCTCTCTCCGAGGGTTAAAAACTGCTTTGCCTGGGTGTCAGAAATACTTCCTCACAGTTCACTAAAAGATTTTGATGTTATCACAGATAATTACAAAGTCTGGAAGGTAAACGTTTCATTTGTACTATGGAAGAGTATGACTGACCTTTCACTTCTGCAGAAAAGAATCCCTCCAAAAAAAAAAAAAAAAATCAGTTTACCGTAAATTTTAGACTGTAAGGCGCATTAAGCAAAACTAAAACCTCTTGACAGATTTTTGAGCACCGTGTATCACATAAAATCATTTTGAGGTCAGTAAGCACAACCAGAATTAATACATAATTAATGCACGGGATTATAAGGCTCACTGTTGATTTTTGAGAAAATTAAAGGATTTTAAGTGCGTCTTATAGTCCGAAAAATACGGTACTTAGTGCTGTAATGACATTTAAACTTAAAGGATTTTGTGGAGGAGGGAGTGGCGGTCATACTACTTAAGTGTTGGTGTTATCTGCTGTCAGAGCAGATAATCTGACCACCAATGAGCAGAGTGTTTGAAACCAAAGTGTTCCCCTTTAAAACAACTCCATCAGTCATTATGATTTGTTAAAGGGTTGTGATTTCAAGGAGCCAAAGTGCAGACTCAAACAACGGGAGACTCAAACTGAGAGAGTTAAAAAGAAACAAAGGAAAGACTGACATGGTAAATAATAACAGAACCTTATCGTGCTCACGTGAAGGTAAAAATGAACAAAGATGGAAGCTGAATAGACTGAACAGACATGTTCAGGCTTCAGCGTAAAGAATCACAAAAGTCTACAGAAATAAACTTCTCATGCAAAAGTGACAAATCCAACAAAATGTTCCCTTAAACTGCTTTTATTGTTTAAGTTTGGAGGTGTTCAGATCGCAGAAATTTAGTCAAATAAATCTGAACTATCCCTTTAGAGCTTGGTTATTCATATTTTTTTTGGGGGGGGGAGTGGGGGGTCATTGTTAAAGAAGCTATCTTTGTTTTTGTGTATGAGGATTAAATGTGCTACTGTGGTTTTACAAGAATAAAAAATGCTTAAATTTGAAGGGAAAATCAGAAGAGCTCCACTTCTGTTTGTTCCAGCCCACGACTGCAGACCAACACTAAAAAAAAAAAACGGTGATATGAAAATTACGCAAGCTTTTAGTGTAGTTAATGTAGCAGGTTCTTTTTCTTTAATTCCAAGAGAATAAAAATCCCAAGGCAAACGTTAATATTTAATACTTTCAATGTGGTCTGAAATAAGTCACCTTTGTTCATAGCAGATCAAATTCTCTCGTTTCCATCCTTTTGCTAACGTTAGTCTCCATTTTTTGAAGTGTGAAAATAAAACACAATCCTTCTCAGACCCTACAGAAAGTCTCCATCATGGTTTTGATAGAAAGCTGTATTTTCTGCTCCTCCACTCAGTAGTGCCCCCTAGCAAGGATGATCGTTGCAAACGCGAGTCTCCCTCCGGTCCTTGCAGCTGCCCTTTGACCTTTTCCTGGTGGTCCTGACGCGCTCCTGTAAACCCACCCCGCAGGGTTTACTGCAGTCTGTCCAGCTGCTCCACGGCTGCAGGCGGCAGCTTCCTGCACCTGAACAAATGGGCGACAGCAGAGAGGGCTGCAGTTCAACACAAACAGCTGCAGCTTCCAGAAGTCTACAAATAATCATGTCTCCAGTTTCAAAATGGACACCAAGGCCCATTTATGTATTTTTGTCTGTATCTCTGTGTGCATTTAGCAAAAATATCTCATAAAACGAACACATTTTAATGAAACTTTCAGAAACTAATCACTGGGTTCACATCAATAACTGATAAACTTTTGGAGTTAACCTAATTCATGATGGCCGCCAAGGCAGCAGAGAGAACTTTGCTAACACACATTGAACTACAAGCTAATTTTACAGAGATGGGGCTCTTATTTGGTGTCATAGCAGCTGAACCGGGTCCCAGACACAGCATCTGAGAGCTAACAGATACCACAAAACATCACAATACAGTAGTCCCTCGCTACTTCACGGTTCGACTTTTGCAGACTCGCTCTATCGCAGTTTGTGAACGTACATTACAAAAAATAATTTTAAAAATGTACAGGACACGATTGTCAACTTTAATATTTCTCACATGATTGGGATGGTACTGGGTACAGTTCTGTACAGTAAAAGTTAATGAAAAAATTAACTAATTCAGACAGGAGTGGCCATTTTGTAGTTTTCTCTCAGGAAGCCTCCACTGTGTTCCCGCTCATAATGACCTCATTTCCCAGAAGGCAACAGGGCCCTATCTAGAAGCCCCATTTTCTTTCTGAAAAACTAGAGGTAAAGTTTTGATCTGATTGACGTTCAGCAGATGCATTGAACCCACCAAACCAGACCAGAACTGGACCAGAACCAGACCTCCAGACCCATCGGTGAATTGTGAGAGCTGGTAGCCAGCTCACTAAGACTTCCAAGCGGGAGATGCGCTGCCAAAGGTCTGGGGCTGTTTCTGGAGCCCATCAGGACATTTTTCCATCCAGACTTGGACTCAATCGACCACCTACGGTCCCACATCAGCCAACAGAAGGTCTGCCCCACAGAATATGTTTCGGCACTCAAGAACTGCACTGAACTGGACCAGAGCTGGACCCCCAGACTCACCGGTGAACCCAAGAGCTCCTAGCCAGCCCACAACAACTTCCGAGCAGGGAAACGTTTCGTGCTGCATCTGACTTTTCCAGTGACTTTTTTCATCTCTTTCAACCGGCCCTCGTGGACTCCGAGCGGGAACGCGTTGGTAAATAAAATTTGGTAGCTACATATAAGTATGTTGTTAAAATTAGTAGGTTTAAGAGTAGAACACTGATTGTGGACTTTGTTGTTGTAGGTTATGTCTGCAGAAACGAACCAAGTTGGACCGGTACCGTCGGACTGGAACCGAGAGCCGCTCCTGGTCTGCAGAGCCTGGTAAGTAAAATTTAGTAGCTACATTAACAGCACTGTATGCATGTTGTTAAAATAACGGATGTTTAAGAGTTTAGAACATTTCAAGAGTGTGGGAAGGGTTTGTAAAGTCTTAAAATATATAAAAACACTGAAATAAATATAGCAGCACGGTGGAGTAACGGGTAAAGCTGCTGCCTCTCAGCGAGAAAGTTGACAGTTCAAATCCCGGTCCGGGGAGGGTCTTTCTGAGTGGAGTTTGCATGTTCTCTCCGTGCATGCGTGGGTTTTCTCCAGATACTCCGGTTTCCTCCCACAGATCAAAAACATGCATGTTAGGCTGATTGGTAACTCTAAAAAAATTGTCACCAGCAACCCCTGTGACCCAAAATGGAAGAAGCGGATAAAAGATGATGGATGGACGGGTAAAATAAATATAACGTTGCTACTCTGCAGAGTTTCACTACAACGAGGGACTACTGTACTGCACAAGACGGAACATATTGCACAGCTGTAACTCAGTTATTCCTCAAAATAGGATAATAGTCTAAATCAGTGTTTTTCAAAACTGGGGGGCAGTGGCCCCCTGGGGGACCGCCAGAGGGTGCTAGAGGGCCACAGAAAACTGGAGAGAAGAAGATTTAACAAAAAGGCTAAAATAAAAAATAGTAATAATAATAATAATAATAATAATAATAATAATAATAATAATAATAATAATAATAATAATTGCCCACTAGGGCAATCTGTATCTGTCATTTCCAGATAAACACACTTGAGAGAGAGAGGTTAGATTTAATTTGTTTTATTCTTCTGGTCAACAGTTTGTGGAAAAGTTGTTTTTTTTTTCAGTGGGAATATAATACAGTGTTTAAAACATGTTAGTTAATAACATTTTTATGCTCATCAGCTGTAATAAGTAATTGAATATAGTGAATAAAAGTTAAAACATTCTAGAAGTTGATGTTTCTTTACATATTCTGTAGTATTGTTTGTGGCCTTGGCCAGAAGCTAATGCTGTTTGTGGGGTCATGGCATGGAAACGTTTGGGAACCCCTGGTCTAAATCACTATCAAGAAAGACAGCGGGTGATAGGCATTCCTTTAAAGAATACTACAAATTCAACTTGCAAAGAAATTACAAATATCAAGTTTATTCCTAAATGACATTTTATTGGACTTTAAGATTGAATTTGGTGTAAATCTGTGCAACATGAAAAACCGAGGTGAATCCATGTATTTATTTATTTATGTATTTATGCAACTTATAATAGATTTGACCAACTCAGCTTTATGTCCTCTAAGGTCTACCTGTTCACCTGCTCACACTGATTCACTCACTTGAGTTTTGGATATATGTTGCATACATTAGGGCACCGCCTGTAAAATGTTCATTTCAACATTCCAGAAATGGTTCGTGTTCACTGTGTTGGTGAACATTTCTTCTTAGTTTTCAATCTGTGTAACTGAGCTATTATTAAATCAGCTTTACTCCAACCAGCTCGGCTGTTTTCTTTCCTCCATCACGACCCGTCCTCTTACCTCCACCTCCTCCTCCTTTCGTACGACACTTCCTGATCTTGCATTTCTTCCTCTGGATGGTCTCGGGACAAGAGCTGCCTCCGAACTGTGGCTCCAGTTTGATCATACGGGTGCGGATGGTGTGTCCTTTTCCGCAGGACTTGTTGCACTCTGACCACTCCGACCACTCCGACATCATGCAGTCAATTGCTGGAAGGAAAAATAAGAGAAAGAAGAGATCTAAAAAAAGAAAGCATGACTTAAACAAAACAATTTGTGGAGTTCATTGCATGTTTTTCTTTTTTTTTCCGAGCAACCTTTAAAATAATAATCCTGTTTTTTCAATAGATCCTTTTATCATGTTCCGTGATGCAGCAAACACTGATTTTATTCAACTTGCAGTTACCCGTGACTTTTTAAACTGCCTTTCTGCATGAACAGAACCATTTTCTGCTCACATGGTACAGATCAGTGCAGCAAAGCAGCTCCTCGCACTGAAACTGATCACCTTTGAATTTTTCAGAGACATATGAAAGGATTTTATGCTAAAATGTGCATTTCAGCTGAAAAAATGAATAGAAACTGCATCCATTCAGTTTTAACAACAATCTGTATTGATTTTTTTTTTTGTAATATAATAAATTCCATTATTTTCTTTCATTTTTAAATATGGCTGTTTTAAACTCACCTGTGGAACTATTTAAGATGGGTGAATATTTGTCCAGTATTTCTGATAAATTGTCACATTCTGGGTCAGATTTTAATCTTTTTTGCACAACATCAGTATCGGGTGATGCAGCTCATGTGTCAGTCTCAGTTTTCAGTCCAGAGCTGACATTTTTCATGTCATCTGCAGAGACAAATGACTATGTATAAGCACATTCTGAGGGATTAATGACAGAGCCATGAGAAATAATTACTGAAATGCTCTGCAGGCAGGAAGAATACGTCTTTGTCTTTGGTCATAAAGACAAAGGTTCACAGAACCTGAAGATAAAAACTTTAAGCTGTGAGATTTAACGTCTGTAGAGTTTAGTGTCTCAAGAAGAGGAAGAGATTTAACCTCCCCAAGACGTGTCTTTTCAGAGTCATGTTCAGTATTCATACAATAGCCGGGTTTTGAACCTGTGGCTCTGGAGCCACATGTGGCTCTTCAGATCCTCTAAAGTGGCTCCTTGGAACTTGGAGGAACAGAGGTTTTTCATAAGTAAATTTACAAAAATGCTGCAGTTTTGTTGCCCGAATGTTTAGAGATATGTGCATAAAATTTCTGCCACACTAATAATACAGTGAACTTTGTTCAACTTATGTGAGAAACGGAAATGCTTACTTGAAGGGGCAGCTCTTAGGTGATGAAAAAAGAAAATCGTAAGTGGCTGTTATATTTAAAATTTGTGTTTATGTACTGGTAATTATTTTCAGATTACATATCCAGTATAGGTTTTATTAATTCAAGGCAGTCAAATTTGTTCAACCGTTGAGTTACCAGATCCGATCAAACAGTTACCGGAATGGAACGCACCCTGTCAAAATAAGAGTTCCTGGATCCTGTTCTAGCAGGATCCGGATCAAATTAAGCCCTGCTCTCACGGCAGCAAACTAATTACAGGTCTCTCAAAAGGAAAACACAACGAGGGAAAACCAGGTCTGAGTGAACAGCGTAATGAGAGCTGACGTGACTCTGGCTGGAGACAGAAAGACAGGGATACGTGGGAGATGAGCTACAGCTGAGTCTAATGGAGAATGAGGAACAGGTGAAGTGGGCGTGGCAGGCTGAATGAAAAACTGATACCAGGCTGAGGATAAATGTGAAGGGAACAAAAAACAGAAAACCAACACTAGAACCACAACAAATTAACCTGTTAAAACTATAAAAATAGATCCTGACGAGGCCAGTTTCTGTTCTTCGTTTTCTTTCTACAGCTTTCTGACAAACAATGTAGTGGGTTTTCAAATCCACCAAAAAAACTAAACAATTTCAACATATTAAATGCACATTGCTGTAAATGCAGCAAATATAGAGTTGCCGGTGTAGATTTTCAGTCATCCAGAATATGGCAAATCCTCCCCAAAAATAAAACACAATGCAACTCGACATCGATCATGTAGCTGCAGTTGTTGCTTCTCATCGAGGGACTTTCAAGCAAACCACCTTGAACCGCAGACTCCAAGTCTAGTGGAGTAGTTTTATTTATGTTTTTAATTTGCCAGTTAAACGTTTGCACGCCTATATGGTTTTATAGATGCTAAAGAATTGAAATATGATGCCACAACAGCCTGCAGCTAGTGTCTTCAACGGGTTTAGAAAAATCTAAACAAAAGTCTGCTTCTTCAAAGATTTTAATGCTTTAAGCCACAACTTAGCTACTCTATGTGTGAAGCTTCTTGTTTGCACAAATGTGTTCAAAACAGTTCTTTCTGTTGAATTCCATATTATTTTGTCTTGACATTTAACACAAAAATAATAAATATAGTTTCACAACAAACTGTAGTTTATAAATATGTATTTATTACATTTTTTTAAATTCAATTGTGCAGTTCCATGCACATTTTATTTAATAGGAAAGATGATTAAAATGTATTTTTTTTTTTCAAATATAAAGGCTGCAGACCTCTGAGTTTTAGCTACAGCTTCAACATTACTGCACTTCTGACCTCTGGTACAAAACTTTACAATTGAATATTTGAAACAAAAGCAACCTTTTTCAACAAAATGCAACACCAAGAACTTTCTAGAAAAAAATCAGATACACATTTACATTTTGTTTTAATTAGGACTGAGTTGTAAACAATCTCAGATGGTTTCTGTGTTAAACCCCACTCCACAGATACCAGCATATTTATTTAGCAAAATAACAAATGATCACTTTGACCTTTAATGACATTTGTCTCATCAGAGAAGATAAAAAGAGAAATTAAATTACCAAACACAACAGGTGAATTCATATAAGTCGTCATTTTGTGATTTTAGTAGAACAAAACACTTATTTATTTATTTTTATCTGTGCATCAAAGACAGTAGCTCATACTGATCCAGGAGGAACTTCTGAACAACTGTGTCTACAAAGTAAAACCTTATTAAAAAGTGTGTTTGCTCAAACCTGCAAACAGACCGAGGCTGAAAAAGCAGCAGCAGCTTCGGACATTATCAGCCCATTAAATAGCTGTTATTGGTTGTTATCATCCCCATAGGTTGCATTCAGACTGTCCCTCCTACCTCCTAGTAGGTTTAAAGGTACGTTGTTATCGCTGATAATATGCAGCTTCGCACCCGTCTAAAATCAGAAGTTTTTTGTTAGCTTTATTTAACCCTTTTCCTTAACCTTACCTTACACCTGACCCAGAGCACTGACCCTAAACCTAACCCCCTGACCCTTTACTCTTAACCTAACCGCATGACCCTATTATCAGCGATAAGAACGTACCTTCGAAGCGGGTGAATGCAGAATGTGTTGTTGAACAGAAGCAGAGACGTTAGTTACTTACGGCACTCGGGCAGCATGCACTTCTCCGTTTGCTCCAACTCCTCTGTGCAGCCGGCAGGATCAGACTTCAGCATCCGCTGTCGGGTCCGGACGCCACGCCCGCACGTCACGCTGCACTCGCTCCACTCTGACCAGGGCGACAGCATGCAGGGGATGGTGTCTGAACACACACACAGGCACAGATTCAACGCACCTGCACAAATAAAATGATCTACACACAGGATGAGATGAACGTGTTGGAGCGATGTCCGTTTTTAACTCACGGCATTCAGGCATCATGCATTTATCCACTTCTGCCACCTCAGTTTTACACATGGATCCATCTATAGGAGGCATCTTCACCATGCGCTCTCGTCGTCTTATGCCAACCCCACAGGTGATACTGCAGGGGTCCCACTCCCCCCACTCTGTCACCACACAGCTGCTGGGTGCTGGGAGAAGAACGAGATGCAAAGCTGCATTGGAAAACATTTCCTTTCTTTTTAAAGGCTTTTATACATGTCTGGTTCTTGAAAATACATTTTTTTAATAAATGAACTATTTACACAACGATTTTACTTTTAGTTTGAAGCACTTTTTACATTCTGCACAAGGAGAGAAGTTCATAAAACAAGATGTATGTTTTACAATTTGGCACAATGGAAGAAAAAAGTATACATAAGATTTCTTCATACATAAGTTGATTTTCTTAAAAGGATGCAATATAAGAGCAACTGCTTTTATATGAGTGAAAAACTTATTTTAAGCTAATGATGCAATGGTTAGGATAAAACAAACAATAAAAACCATTTAAAAAGTCCAAATAAATAGAATAAATATGTTATGCATATTTTGTCTTTTGCACACACATGTTTTTATAAATATATGGACTGATGAAGGACTGATGAAGTCCTTTGGATGAAGGATGAAACATCTCAGAAAAAAAAAAAAGAAAAGAAAGAAACTGTCCAGATGACCTGACTGAACATTGTTGGATTTTTACCTGGAGCATGAACTTTGATGTTTTTAGAACTATTCTTTTCTGTTTGGTTGTGCAAACACAGTTTTTAGTCTTTTTAAATGAACATTTTTAACAACTTGGGCCAAGTTTTAGGACAATGTATTAGCATCTTTGCAAATAAAAAATTAATTTAAAGAAAGGAGATGAAGGGCGGGGCGGTATTTGGAGAAAAATCTCAGAAACTACAACTTTATTATAATAAATTACCATGAGAAATACATTTATATGGAAATTTTGACTTTCTTGTAAATTTTAAACTTTCTATTATAAGACAATATCAAAGTTTTTTTCAAGTAAATTTATTACAATAAAGTAAAAATTTCTGACATTTTTCTCAGAATTTTGCTCTGCCCAGCAACTCCTTTTTATTATTCCTTTATTATGACTCTAATATGCCATTAAAAGTTTCTCATAATAGGACAGCTACATGACAAGAAATCTTGTATTGTCAGACAAATTCTTTAACCTTAAACCATGTTGGATTGTCCGTGTCTGTGCATGTTTATGTTTACTATTTTTATTCGTCTTTGCAAATGATGTGCGTGCTTTTTAGCATTGACATTTTAAAAACAAATGAAACAAATTGTGCATCATCATATTATCAAGAGATAAAATACACAAAGTGCAGGATGCCTCTGCTTTGATAGCATTTGTTAGCTCTTGTTCTCAGTGCACGAGGCTGTCTCGTTGAGTTTAAACCGCCTGTTAAAGACCCTGAAGTCGCTCTGCAGGTAAGTACTTGTGACTTGAATCTGATTTTTGCAGCCTGGTGAGATCACTGAGTAATGACTGGACGCGCTCGATTCAGTTGATCAAACAGCCGACCTGCTGCTGTTCTGGATCCTTGCATGCTGGGAGGCCTACTGAACCAGCACTGCAGCAGTGAAAGACAGAGATAACCACAGCCTCAGTCTGCTTAAATGTGACACTCAATACAGAAGTACCGTTACTAAGCCAACGTATCAGAAGCAGATGTTCTCATAGTGACTTATTTTATGCTGCTGCTATACACAGTGCTAAATATTACACATTTATTGTCCAAAAAAATCATAACTTTAATCATTGATATGTGGATTGATGTTGTATTTAATACATTAAAACTTAACACAAAGTGTATCTTGTTAGTGTAGTAGTTTAAGTATGTTGTTTTTAAGTATAAATACTTTGATTTTTGTGTTTATTACTGCTTGAATTGTCTCAAATCTGTAATGCAACACACACACACACACACACACACACACACACGTGCACAACCTTTCAAAACAGACTCACAGCATTCGTCGTTGACCACACACTTCTCAGTCTCCTCAGTGTTGAGCTGGCAGAGCGAGCCGTCCTCGGGGTACTGTTTGACGTAGCGCTCTCTGGACCTCATCCCCATCCCACAGGAAACACTGCAGGCGGACCAGCTGATCCACTCTGACATCATGCACGTGGAAGTCTCTGTCCACCAAGAAACAGAAATGGATACCATTAGATGGACAGGCTGTGTTTGAACATGTTTTGTTTTATTATTACTGTGGGCTTTGCATGTTTCAGGTGCACTTCCTGTGTGCACTTCCCAGAAGATGCAATTAAAGAACACAATTTAATAGTATTTGCCAAGGTCATGCACGTCATGTGTAGAGACACAAAGAAGAGGAGGGGGGGGGGGGGGGGAGAAATTGATATAAGGATCAGATTCAGCCACAAAGCTGAGTCGTGATTTGCTTAAAAGCCGTTGTTTCTTGCATTTTGCAGTAAAAAAAAATATATAGAGACAAAATGTGACAAAAATCTTCAGAAATAAATTAATAATAATGCACAGTAAAGTAGCTCAGATAAGACATCCATCCATCCATCCATCCTCTGCTTATGTGGGACCTTATTACAAAGAAAACAACCCCTTCTCCCCAACTACCTCCTTAAGCTCATACAGAGGGACTCCAAAGCTCATCCAGGTCAGCTATAGGATATATGTTCTCTCCAGAAAATCTTTGCTTGGAAAGTATCAACAAGGTACATTTACAAGATGCCAAAACTACCTACATTGGATAGTTTTGAACTTTATTCAACACTCCCTAAGGGTATGTCCAGCCACTCTGAGGAGAAAAAGAAGTTTGGCTGGTTATATTTGCAATTTAATTCTTTTGAGTTTCATATCTCATGATCATGGATAAGGGCAGCACGGTGGCGCAACTGGTAGAGCTGCTGCCTCTCAGTGAGCAGGTCCTTGGTTCAAACCCCGGTCCAGGGGCCTTTCTGGGTGGAGTTTGCATGTTCTCTCCGTGCATGCGTGGGTTTTCTCCGGGTGCTCCGGTTTCCTCCCACAGACCAAAAACATGCATGTTAGGCTGATTGGTAACTCTAAAATGTCCCTAGGTGTGAGTGAGAGAGTGAATGGTTGTTTGTCTTGTTTGTCTCTATGTGGCCCTGCGACGAACTGGAGACCTGTCCAGGGTGTCCCCCACCTCCCACACAATGCTAGTTGGACATGGCACCAGTGACACCCGTGACCCAAAAAGGAAAAAGCGGGTAAAGAGGATGGATGGATAATTACATTTCCATATCAGCTACATTCTGATCTAGTTTTCCCACAAATAAACTTTCTAACAACAGTGAGAATGAGAGTGGACACTCCTTTGAAATCTAACTGTAGAAGGTTGTGTTTTAGTAGAGTGTATTGCATCGTATTTAGTCCCAAGTATTTGGTTAACTTTGAAATTTACTTTATATTTCATGTGGACTCACTTGCTTCAATAACTGTGGTCCACCTCAACCTTTATCGTCTTGGTTCAACTATGTTCACTGATCCAAAATTAATCTGATTTATAGAAGTCCAGTCTTTGTTACTCTGAATACATCTTTCTCGGCCTGACATGGATTTCCATTACAGGTGTGGATGAATGGTATAATCCCCTCACCTCCCAGAATGTCAAGCTAAATGTTAAACAACATCACTTACTTAGAGGTTCTAACCTCTTTAGATTCCACGTCACTTCACATCTACACGGCAGATTTATTTTGTTTTCCACACATTGCATCCTAGATGTTGCCACACACTTAAATGGAAGTTGGCACGTCACCTATTTTTCAAATTATGCTCACATCATGCACAAACGGACCGACGGACGGTATTTCCAGTTCCCCGTTTTCACTCTGCGTCGGGAGAGAAAAATCCTGCAAATACTGATCATGTGTTGGATAGTTTTTACTTTAACATCCAACACTTCTTTTGTCTTCTATTTTCATCATTTTTACACACACGCCAACGATACTCTGCCGTAGTTTGGTACAACGTCTCAACAAAAGTGAAAGAAAAACAGATAACCAATCCCTTTGTTATTAACCAACCACTTCCTATATATTATAATTTTCCAGTAAATTGATTTATTAAAAAATTATCATCAGTCTATAAATAGGCCAGTAAAAATCCCATTTGCCTGTTTACAGTGGGAGTTTGTATCTCCTTTAGTTTTGCTTGTATTGGTGGTACTTGTTGTCTGCAGACCTGGAAACAACCTTTTTAGCACAAGTGAGAATTCATTTTCCACAGAATGGTGTAAGAAAAGTCACAATCAACAATTGGGTTGCCATGTCAAAATCCAAGATGGCCACCGGCTTATATACCATATATGTAAACCAACCACCCCTATCATTTGAGAAAACTATGTTTTCTAATTTTCTTTGTTGCTTAAAACTAAAGTTTCCCCAAATAACTGGGGTGGCCAGTGATTAATCTATAGTGGCCCAGGCCACCCCCTGGTCATGGGTAAAATTGCTCCCTCCACGTATCAGGACCTGTCACTCTGCATTGCCTTGCAGAAGCAAAAACAAAAAAATCTACCACTGTTCTTCTACACAGTATAACTCCTACCCATTAGAATATCTTGCACCAAAAAATATTGTTTACATGCATTCCCAGTTCAAATCCAGTCCAGAAAAACACTCATCTCCAAAACTACGTAAAATCATTCATTATTCAAATCTCTTAGCGATGGGGACATCAGAGTATCACGTGCTTAGCATGAGTTTTGAACATGTTTATACAGTTTGTGCTACAGATTTGCTCCTAAAACAGTGTTGTTGTTGTGGATGTCATAAATCATGCCAATGATAAATAATTATTAACAGAACTGGTTTATTCGAATCTGCCTATCTTAATTATGTTTAAAGTCTAATCCAGCAGATGAAATCATAAATGTGGGTACAAAGTGAGCCAAGACAGTTGTGTGTAGACATGGGCAACACAATAATCTAAACAAGCAATAGTAAAGTTTTGCAAGCTGTGCATGTGAAAACAGGTCATGATTTAAAAAAAATCAGTCTGTTCAAAACATATCGGCAGCATAGCTCGCTGGTCGTCTGGTCACAAACACTCAGAATTCAGTGAGACTGCAACTGAAAATCTGCTTTTGTTGCAGTTTTCAGTTGCCAACTAGTCTCTAAAAGTTGTCAGCCCACTGAGGTCCCACAGTTAGTGAAATGAGCCATTTTTAATTCCACTCTTGCTTTTCCCTCCGTTGACACATTAACTGTTAAAACAACAATTCAATTCAGTTCAGTTTATTTATATAGAGCCAAATCACAACAGAACTCATCTCAGGGCACCGAGAAGAAACATTCATAAATAAAAATAATAATTTAACAATATTTATCTGAGGCGCAGACTGCTTTGAGTTTAACTCCATCACACAACTCTCATTTTGAGCAAGCATGAAGGCGACAGTGGAAAGAAAAAACCCCTCATGAGGAAGAAACCTTTAGCAGAACCAGGCTCAGGACAAGTGGCCATCTGCTTTGACCGGCTGAGTTTGGTAGGAACAGATACACAATGGCAGGTCAAGAATCACATGTTAAGATAGAAATAGTGTAAAATGAAAACTATTCAGTTTTAACAATTCATAGGTCAATTTGGCCTCTAGTAGTCTAACCTTAAGACAGCATAACAAGCCGACCCTAATTATAGGATTTATCAAAAAGGAAAGTCTTAACCCCAGTCTTAAACTGGACAGTGTGTCAGACTTACGGAAAAAAACATATGAACAATTTCTATAACATGTTCAAAAACACTCTCTCAGATGGGCTTTTTCAGCCATTAAAGGTCACATTAGTGTTCCTCATGACAGCTAATGCAGACAGCAATATTCACGCCCCGTCCTCTGGTTGAAGGACATCGTCCCTGAACTTAAAATCTCATTTCCGTTCTTGGATGCTTGCAGTTCAACTCAAAGTTCAAAGAGCTATTTTCAAAAACCTTTGCCTCAGAAAAAGCTTCTAACTCCCTTTTTAATAAGGAGAGTAGCCTGAGGGACAGTCCTTTTCACAGCAGGGCCCTGAGGGAGCGAAAGTCAATATGTACGACCTCAGCGAGTATCAGGTGAACAATGAACTGCAGCTTAACAAGGCGTCACTTTGCTTTATTTTATCACCATTAGCTGGCATGGCGTTCAAGATCTCCTTGTTATTCCTTAACAGGGCAACACTGTTCAAGCCTTTTACTACCGTCTCCTTCCAACACGTCACATGAGAGCAGTGCAGATACCATACCAAAAGTGAGAAGAAGGAGACTGTCAAAAACAAAGACGATTACACGAGAGCAGACCTTGTAAATTGGAAATTTTCTTTAGTAATGATCACTGAACTCCGACAAACCTAAACGGTTCTTTCTTTGACTAACGGCACTTGACTCCCGACCGTAAACTTCCAACAAACTGAGAACGATGTTGCCTACCAGCTGCGGCTTAATAAAGCAGAACTAAGTGAATCATTAATAAAAGATGCAGGTATCTGCAGCTCGAAGTGGGGGCCTTCAGAGAGCCGAAGGGTTTCCCTAGAATATTAATCACCCTCGGCATGGCTGCTCCTCGTTCTGCCCCAGCATCAACCCCACAATTATCAATCTCCCACCGCACACTAACGGAGCGCTAAATGAAAACAAAAGAGGTGCTCTGGAATAAAAAGCTATCTGTGTTGCTGTCTGATAATCGATAAGAGGAGCGGTGGAGGGTGGAAGTGTGTGTGTGCGGGTGTGTGCGTGTCCGCTGGAAGACATCCTGGGAGTGGAGAAAGAGCAGGAAGATGATGACTTTTAGCATTTTTTCCAAACTGACAACTTCACTGAAAATTGGATAAAAGCAAACTCCCGGCGTTTTTGTGATTACGTGCGTGTTTGTGGCAGGACTGACGTTGCAGTAATAAAGGCCTGCAGTAAAAAAAAAAAAAAAAAATGCATCAAACTGACAACTGAGAATAAAAGAGCTTTTCTTACATTGACTGAGAAGAAGTGAAATGTTGAAGCTAATGAGTAAAAACACAAGTCGTCGGTTTAGATATTCACAGAGATCTGTGCAGCTCTGAGTTAATAAATAGCTTTGTGTTTCAGGCTCCTCGCTTTGTGAATCCTATTACGCTTCTAAAATTTACACAATCCTCCATTTGTTCCTCTATTTGCTGTGACATCACAATAGAAGAGTGGCATGTTGATGTAATTCAGTCCAATAGAGCACAATCATCCTAAATGTAAGCAGAAGTCAACTCAGCTAATCCGCGTAATCTTGTGAAGTAATTAGAGTATACAGCCTACAAAGTTTTGCCTGTGTAATTTGGGATTTGTGCATTTGATGCAACATAATCGGTTGCAGATGTGTGAGGCTTTCAGTGTTTCATAGAGCCTCGCTAAGCTTTCAGTGTTTGTTCTTACGCTGCAGATTGTTTTTAGAAGACACGGCCATCTCTTCTGTTTCTCCCTGTTCAAACACGCTGTAATCTCTCATTACAATAACTTCAAATGTTGGTTTCGGTCTAATTTAAGCACTCCTACAGTCCCTGAAAAGTGTTGTCTTGATGAGATAAATGCCTAAACGTTCCAAACATCTGCTCCAGTTTGTACGGTAAAGCATCTGCTGTGTCACACCACATGAAGGATCCTCTCAGGTGTCTTCGCCGGCAGTGAAGTTCTTGATCTATTTATAAAACCAGTCATTCAAACGCATTCTGTATCTGATGTTTAGAGGTGTGAAATATAGACGGTGACTATTTTACCCATGAAGCAGATTGCATCTGGTACTCAGAAGATTTATGCATTTTTAAGCATTATTTTGTGCTTTTTGTGTGTGTGTGTTTATATATATATATATATATCCCAAGGGTCTGCAATCTGTGGCTCTGTAGCCAAATTTGGCCCTTTGGTTCCTCTGCAGTGGCTCTTTTAAACTTTGACCAAAATGAACAAACCACTGCTAGTTTTAACAGTTTCATGTCATTTCTTTTGCAAATTTGTGAATACTAGTACTAATACAAGGACTAAAACATGCTCTAACTTTATGCTTGATTTCTTTAAAGTAGGATACTTAATTTTTCCACAATTAAAACAAAATCACTACACCTGCATACTTCATTGTTTAATTTTTTTTTAACTCTAAAAAATTTATCATTTTAAAAATAATCTGTTCTTTTCTTTTGTCTTAAAATGTAAAAATTTCAATAAGTGTTAAAATTCAAATACTTTTGGTTTTTATTATGTCACTCCAACTAGTCTGAAAAGCCTCCTCCAATGAACTTAAAGTGGCCCATGGGCCACCAGTTGATAATCACAGTTGGAGCAGGTTTTGTGGCTCCGGACATTTTAGTTTAGTGAACAAAGGGCAGAAATGGCTCTTTGGATCGTCAAAGTTTCAGACCCCTGGTATAACCCAAGGCATAGGTTTACCTCAAGTTTCGTTAAATTATCTGAAGCGAATCAGAAGTCTCACCTTGAATAGGTGTACAAAAATCAGAGTAATAAATTGTATCTAAAATGGCAAAGTGAGCAATATTGAATCAAGATCAAAATAAATGTAAGTATTGCTATTGCTCTAACCTAAGCACATACCTTAATGAAACATCAAATGATAAATTAGACTGTACTTACCTTTCTATCTTATCAAGACACTCAAAGCACTTCACACTACAATCTGTGTCCTCATTTACCCATTCATACAGCACTCTACTAGATCTCTACAAAGCTAATCGAACCAATCATTCTAAAGAGGCTAATCAGTGTTTATCACATTCATACACCGATGGGACACACATCGGAGGCAATGAGGGGTTCAGTGTCTTGCCCAGGGACACTTCAGCATGTGACTGCTGGTGGATTTGAACCCCTAACTCTTGCATTGGAAGACAACTGCTCTAACCACTCAGCCACAGCCGCCCATTAGTGAAAACTCTTTAAGTTTAGCTGTTTGACTAAAATCATCAAATCAGTCAGATGTTTGATATTTTCATTCCCAGCACCCTTTAGGCTGCTGCTCTACCTGACGTTCTATGTTCCAAACTGTGTCAGAGTTCCTCAGTGTCACGTTTGTCGTTAACGCGGCTCTCGTCTGTATTCTGGGGGTGTTTGGGACTGCTCTCCTTGCCTGAGGCATTCGGGACAAAAGACTTAATAAACCTTTGCATCTAGGTTTTTGGCGGCACTTCCAATGCAGATGCATCGCGCTTGTCTGTGAATCATTACAAATCTGGTAATCTTCACATCCTTATTGATTAATCATTTGAAGCAGCTGGTATATCAAGGGGGTCTGACAGGAGCTGCAAGAAAACTAGAAGAAGAAAAATACCACACAGAGATTTGCTAAACAAAGTCAAGACCCAAAACACGACAATTTAGGAACATCTCTACTTCATCCAGGAGCTTGAAATGATGCAGGATATTTTATCATGAGAAACTCATTTGTTTTCATGAGATAATCAAATAAAAACCTCCTAAATGGCATAAAACATTTTAGGCAAAGTGGTTTCTAGTTTCCATTATTCAGAGTAGCATTAAGTGTAATTTGCAGAAGTCTGATGTTTCGGGAATCAGGTGTCCGAACGTGTAAGAGCTCCTTAGTGAGATCAAACTTTTGATTTCAGAGGGAATTAAGGAGCCGTTTCAGTCTAATGAGGGAAATAAGGAATTGTCTTGATTTGCATTCTAGCTGTGTTAGCAGAGGTCCTTCCATGCAAGCAAATGTTATGTAGTGACAGCATACTGGCAGCGAACATTCAATCTCTTCTAAATCTTTTCTGTGTGAGTGTGTGATTACCCTCCATGCTGCATCCTGGCCCCATGCAGGGCTGAAAATCTTGGGTGTGGGGACACGGGACGCTGAGATCCAGCTGAGCCTTCAGCATCCTTTGCCTCATCCTGCGACCTTTATCACACGTGGCGCTGCTGCATGCAGACCACGGAGACCAGGCGGAGTAGATACACGTCTCCGGTGTGTCGTCTAGGGAACGAAAACAGACAGATGGTAACAAGTAGTTTCGTTTATTTTCTGTCTAATTTGGGAATCGAATGGTCAATGTTTGGTGGTTAAATTTGCATTCATGAAGATTAATTTTCAAATTGACCCAATGAAGCAGCCAAATTATTGTGTCCAATAGGTAAACAAGTGTATTTATAGCGGAGCACAAGAGTCCAGAAAGTTACATTTAGGCAGAAAGGGAAGCAGCAGAGGAGTTTGTACAGGGAGGAGTGTGATTTGTGAATGTCTTGTCCAATTATCAGTGGCAGCAGAGCTCTGAGAAGTAGTCGGGAGACTGGCTTCAATTAAAAATGCTCTCCTGGGGTTTTGGAAAAGCAACGAAAATGAGAAGACAGGCAAGGGAGAGAATATACTGACAGAACACACGGACAAACCTAAATGGACCAAATTCTGTGGGATAACGCGTAATGACGGAGGAGAATGAGGGAGGAAAGGGGCTGTAAAGGTAAAGCAAGTGGAGGGCTGATGCGTAAGTGAAAGTGCTGAAGGTCTGGGTGAACCGGAGGGACCAGTCTAAATGGAATTTTGCCTTGGAAGTGTCATTTCACACAGAGGCAAGAAAGAAAGTGAGGACAGGTGGAGGAACAGGGATGGAAAAAGGAAAGTGGCTGGTGATTCCCTGGTAAAAATATTTATCAGACAGCTGGAAACGCTTATTACAATTTCTGCAGGTGTACAAAAATCCTGAACATTTTCCAGAGAGTTCAGATTAAAATATAAGCTATATATGCACTGCCGTAGGAAAAAAGGGATCCCCAAACAACCAGGTGTAAGCTTCATCAGATTTATATATAAAGCTTTGGAGAATCAAAGCATTTGCAAGTTCACACTTAATGCTTTCACCTGTCTGAGGCTCTGATCCAGTCTGACTTCCTGAACAGAAAAAAATCCGTTTTGTAGACCTTCTGGTCACAAGGTCCCTCAATCCCTCCCTCCATGTCTGGCTGTTATCAGAAACCCAGCTGCAGTCAGGGAGAAGCTTGTGGGAGACGGAGACTCAAGGACTCTCTAAGACACGTCACTGTATCATATCAATATATCAAGCAAACCTTGAGGATAATAAAAACCATCTCTTGCTGTCCTTTATTGACCAGTCACACCAAGACTGATTTTTACTGTACATGGAACATTTTAATATAATTCATTGCACATTTTTTCGCTTCCAATTCCTACATGTGTCCAGTTTCATTACTTTTTGTCTGTCTAAACAGATCTCAATTGTAAATGAGTCTCCTAGTCTCAATGTAACTTATCTGATTAAATAAAGGTTGAATTCACAATCACAGTACAGAGTAGTGAAAGTTATGGAGCATGGTGAGTGTAAATAATATACATTCCCTTGATAGCACAACATAAACCCTGTTGGGTGAGTTCAATGGGTGAAGAGGTACATTAAAAGCAACTTTACCTTTTATAACTGATGTCAGATTACTGTCTGATACGAAGTAGAGTATGCTATCAAAAGGCTTTGGAAATAAAAATCTTTTTGCACTTAGTGAACTTAAAAAAACATCATAGGTTGCATCCATACACAAACACACACAGTTTGAAAATAAGTTCTGAAAATGCACACACACAAACACACAGATTTTGCCTTTGGAGGTTGGCAGTTTAAAAAAAAAAAAAAGACTAAGCATCAGTGCTAAGAGTACCACATTCAACACATACGCCCGTTGACAAACTATTATACAGCAATCTATTGCAATGGACTCATTTGCAAAGACCTTGCATAACCTTTGACCTTGATTTGTAACCTTGAGCTGAGATATGGGGTGATGAAAGGATTATGCAACACACTGTCAAATGGTGGTATAAATGTGTGCCAAGTTTTGTTTTATTAGCTTGAGCGGATCAGAAGTTATGGCACAGACAAGCAATATTGTAGAACATTTGACCTTGATTTTTCTCCTTGACCTTGAAGCTGAGGTGATAAAAAGTGTACGCGACACTCCGTCTAGATTGTTATGTGTATCAGGTTTCATGACATTATTTTGAGCAGATCATAAGTTATGGGCAAACAAGGAAACCCCTCATTTTAGCATGTTTGTTTCTAGACTTTGGTAACTACTTTGGAAATTATGGCTTAAATGACTAATTTGTAGCAAGAAGTCGTCTTGTTTGAGCCTCTTAATGACCGAGTGTCCAACAGCATCCCACAACCTTAAACAGAGCTGATAAAAACAGGATTGCCTTCTGACTCAGTGCTGCTCAATATCAGCAGAAACCTCCCATTCCCTCAGCAAGATGGAAGTAAAACCAAGCTCCATTAAAATGTGGCCTCCAGTCGGAGTTTCACCTGAAACCAGCTGCATCTGTAATGAGCCGAGTGTGTCCTCGAACACAAAAAACCTTTCAGTTTAAACAATGCCTGCTCAGTCTGGGAGCTACACGGGTAAAACAGTGAAATCATCATTTAAATTAAAATGTTTTGTAAACACCGTGATCTAGAGGAAAGCAATTTTAAAGAAAATGAAGGAATCGCATAATGACAAGGTTTGAATTATGAAGGGAACGCTTTATTAAGCTTTTGAAGTTTGTGTCCCGCATGTTTTTTTTCCCTCGTCCTCTGCAAGAAAACGAGTGTATCGTTCACATTTACAGTACTTTACCTTCCTCCTTCTCCTCCTGGCCAATATCAGCTACTATGTCATCGATGGTGTCTGGGACCACGTTGCACTGCTCTCCCTGTGCACGACAGAAAGCTTAAATCACACCAGTGAACAATGTCCAAACTACTGACAAAACACTGCTCTAATGTCAGTTACTACACAACGACGGATAATTTTGTAGACGTATGTAATGTTTAACACAGACGTATTTACTAGATGTTCTTCCACTGGCAACAGTTTAAACAAACGGGGCAGGCACTAGGACCATGCAATCCTCTGCCCTACTACAGCAACGTGCTGAGAGGAAGAGTCTCTGTCCTACATTTATTTAAAACAGAACCGACTTAGTGTTTAAAGCGAATGGTGATTTGTTGACTTTGAAGCAGAAAAAAAAAATCATGTCGACCTCTAGTTGATCTGTTTTGAGTTCAGAGGGAAAAAGCCAATAACGCTTTAAGGTAGAGGGAGAACCATTCACTGATTGCCGCTTTGACCTGTTCTCCACATAATCTAGTCATCTCCGTATTCAGCGTGAGCAACACATTTATGTGATGACTAAATAGTTTTCAAAAAGAGTTTCACTCCAATGTCCTGAGAGCTTCTATACCGTAGACTCTTAGCAAACTTTTCTGTAGTTTTTACAGCTATAGATTGCCTGAATGTATTTAACTCGGAGTATGTTTGTGTGTTTTATCATGTATTTTATTGTGAAAAAGAAGCTGTTAGAATTTTCAACAAGTTTTATTTTGTTTGTTTTGATGACCTTTGGCAAAATCTTTTTACTAGAAACCAGTTAAAAAAAGGGTGATACAAAAGAAAAGAAAAGAAATAAGCATTGATTTTATTAGTTAACGGTTATGACTGATATATTTGTATATATATACAAGGTCTTTATATATATAAATATATATATATATATA